TTGGCTCTTTGGGGATTATACAAGCTTTCATTTCCACTCCTTCACCCTCCTGCTGACTGTTTAGCTGTTGTACAAATCATTAACACATCTGCCGAGGGTAGTTTGGGGACAGAGTGAAATAGCTAATCTCACTGTACATTATTTTTGCTGCTTCTCACCACACTTCAGAAAATCTTGAATGGGAGGGGGGATTGAAGTACACAGTGTAAATCAACTGCTGAGGGTTTTCAACATTCCCATCACTCGTGCTATCTCTTGCTCTTCAAGGACAAGGAAAAAATTCTGCATATGTTCTTAAAGCTTTAAAATAATGGCACAGTCATATACATTTAAGAATGTCATGAATGCTGCTGTATTATCCTACAGAAAATCCTATCCTTACATATCCTATAAAGACTTGTGAGTCCTTCTCCCCTTTAAACTTCTTTAAACCTTGATTTTTTTTTCCTCAATAGGATAGGTAAATTTTTTCTGTAACTGTTAATCTATTAGGTAATTTATCTTTCAATTTACTTATATGAACACACAGAAATGTTTCCAATTCAGGATATAATAAAACCTACAGAGGGCAATTGGGGGGAGGAGCTATATGGAAAAGAATTAAACAAGAAAAAATTTAATACTATACTTTCTTTGAGACTCATTTTATGTCAAAATGTTCTTTCAGAAATTGAAGAATTAAGTGAAGACTATTTTTTTTCTACTGGTGAATGAACGTAGGGCCTCACCCATTCTGGACAGGTGTGTTAGGGTTTCTATTGCTCTGACAGAACACCATGACCAAAAACCACTTGGAGAGGGAAGGGTTCGTTTCATCTTATAGTTTGTAATCTATTATCTGGAAAAAAAAATCAGCGGGAACTGAAGTAGAGGTCATGGAGGAAGGCTGCTACTGTCTTGCTCTCCATGGCTTGCTCAGCTTGTTTCCTTACAGCACCCAGGATAACCAGCCCAGGGGTCTCACTCCTCACAGTGAGCATGGACAAGCTGCATCCATCATCAATCAAGAAAATGCACTGTAGGCTTACCCAAAGGCCATGTGCTGGGGCCATTTTCTCCACTGAAGTTCTTCCCTCTCCCCAAATGACTCTAGCTTGTGTCAGTTTGACATTAAAAACTAGCTATAACTGTGAGCAAGCACTTTATCTCTGAGCTATGTCCATGTCTATATTCATGTTGTATTTTGAAATAGGTCTCATTAAGTTGTCTGGGCTGGCCATAAACTCTCTAAGCTCAGGCAAGCCTTCAGTTTACAATCCTCATGCCTCAGCCTCCCCAAATACAGGCTGCAGTGACAAGCCTGTGTCACTAGACCCAGATCAAGTGAAGAATTACAGCTTCGCATTTGTGATAGTTAATGAATACAGGACCCTACGTCATTATTTTGTAATTTTAACATGCATTATCACCAGTAGCTAATACAATAAGATGGCGTTCTTATAAAGAATCATTTTGAAAGAAGTAAAAAATTACATCGGAGATAGCATCTCATATAAAACAGAGAGAAGGAGCGTACCCGAGTGAGTAAACCTGAAGGTTACAAGCCAGATATGGTGGTGCTCGTCCAGGACTCGGGACACTGAGGCAGAGCTGCAAGTTGAAGGCCAAGCTGGGTTGTTTAAGGACACTCTGAATCAAGAGTCTGAAAACAAACACAACAAAACTTATTTTTCACAGAATGGTTTTCTTCTGGTTATTTAGAATACGGAATAGTTGAAAGTGTTCAAATTTTTCATCAATGGAGGGAAGCAAAGGAATACAGTGCACATTAAAATGGAAGTTTCAAATAAGTGTCCAAAACCAAGAAAAATACTCCACAATAATGTGAGTAAAAGGTGACAAAGCCAGAATGCCTACGAGACTTCAGTTTAGCAGTTCTGTCCTCCAGGGGAGGGATTGAAAGGGGGAGAATGCATGTCTGGACACACACACACACACACACACACACACACACACACACACACACACACAATAGAAACAGCGAAAGTCAATCCACAGCAACAAAGTGTTAACTGACACTTTAAATCATGGCGCATAATAATTCTCCAAGTTTTTCTTATTTTGTATATTTCACATTATAGAAAGATACGATGGTATTTTATTGGTTAAAAGCCTCTTCTTATTCCGCATATTTTTATGTCGGAATGTATGCATCTATGAGCACATGCTGTAGCAATCCGGATCGCATGCCTTCCACAGAACTAGAATTTCCTTGGAGAAGGAAGGCTTGTTTTTCCTAGCACACGGTGCTTAAAAAGTATTTCTTAACTTTCACACCTTCATAGAACATTTAGAGAATTCACAACTCACCGAGCATCCAGCTGTCAGAGCACACATTCCACATGTCTGTGATTCTCCAAGTGTTGATATTTGCCACGCTTTTCTTCCATTTACCATCTGTCCGTGTCTGTCTGTCTGTCTGCTACCATTCCGAATACATCCTGCTTCAGCAAGTTCAACTTGGCTAGGTTCCACATAGGAGACCACTTCGTGTTTGTCTTGTTTCAGTTATCGTAGTGTCCTCCAAGTCTGTCCACACTTTTGCAGATGGCATGCATTTTTTAACTCAATTTTCTAGTTATTATCTTTTAAAAAATTATTATCATTTATTACAATTTATTCCATTTGTATCCTGGCTGTGTCCCCCTCTCTCATCTCCGTCTCCTCCCAATCTCACTAGCCCTCCCTCTTCTTCTCCTATGCCCCTCCCCTAGTCCACTGATAGGGGAAGTCCTCCTATTTGATCCTAGCCTGTCAAGTCTCATCAGGACTGGTTGCATTGTCTTCCTCTGTGGTCTGGCAAGGGTGTGTCCCCTAAGGGGAGGTTATCAGAGAACCTGTCACTGAGTTCATACCAGAGAAAGTCCGTGTTCCCCTTATTAGGGAACCCACTTGGAGACTGAGTCTTTGGGCATTATTAATGCTCTAATCATACATCGTTCCCAACACCTTAATAGTGGGAGACTTCAACACTCCACTCTCACCAAGGGACAGATTATCAAGACAGAAGCTAAATAGGGAAATAATTACACAGAGGTCCTAAATCAAATAGACGTAATAGATGTCTACAGAAACGTTCACCCAAACCCAAAAGAGTATACCTTCTTCTAGGTACCCCATGGAGCCTTCTCCAAAATTGACCATATGGTCAGACACAAATCAAGCCTTAACAGATATAAGAAGATTGAAATAATCCCTTGTATCCTATCAGACCACCATGGCCTAAAACTAGACCTCAACAACAACATAAATAACAAAAAGCCTACATAGGCGTGGAAACTGAACAACACTCTACTCAAAAATAGATGGATCAGGGAAGAAATAAAAAAGAAATTAAAGACTTCCTAAAATTCAATGAAAATAAAGGCACAACTTACCCAAATTTATGGGACACAGTGAAAGCAGTGCTAAGAGTAAAGTTTATAGCACTAAGTGCCTTCAGAAAGAAGTTTGAGACGTCTCATACAAGCAACTTAACGGCACACCTGAAAGCCCTAGGAAAAAAAAAAGAAGCAGACACACCCAAGAGGAGTAGAAGGTTGTTAATCATCAAACTCAGTGCTGAAATCAATAAATTAGAAACAAATAAAACAATTCGAAGAATCAATGAAACCGAGAGATGGTTCTTTGAGAAAATCAACAAGATAGACAAACCCTTAGCCAAACTAACTAAAAGGCAGAAAGAAGCTATCCAAATAGGCAAAATCGAAACAAAAGGGGAAACATAACGACAGACACTGAGGAAATTCAGAGAATCATTAGGTCATACTTCAAAATCCTATACACCACAAAATTTGAAAATCTAAATAAAATGGACAATTTTCTTGATAGATTCCATTTAACCAAGATCAGGTAAATAGATTAAACAGTCCTATATCCCTCAAGGACATAGAAGATTCATCAAAAGTCTCCCTTCCAAAAATATAAAAGCCCAGGGCCAGATGGTTTCAGCGCAGAATTCTACCACACCTTCAAAAAAGAGCTGATGCATTCTTATTGTCTAAGTTGCCATGAGAGGTTACCTTCTGAGCCGAGCACCTGCCATCTTGGGGCATCCAGCTGCTTCCCCACACTTTGCAAAATATCATCGCAGCTGGGCGTGGCTAGTGTGCACTTCGGTACAGAGGGACACCAAGGCAAGGCAGGAGACCTTTACCTGAGTATTCAGCCTCTCCCTCCCACCTGGTACCTTAAGCAAGTGGCTCAGGAAGATTAGAGATGGGCTCCGTCTATGCCACTAGGGGTTAGCTCTTATCCCTGTCTGGTAAGTTTTCCCAGGTATGGTCGGGTCGGGGAGGAGTGCCCGCTCTCCCTGTAAGGAACGCCTCACCTAGGCTCTGTAAGGAAGCTCAATGAATTTTTTGGCTTCTCAGAGTGAACTTTGATTGAATCTTGCCATGGTTTGTAATTAGAGCACTGGGAGGAGGGGTGAACATCGCTTTACATTCTCCTTCCGGGAAGATTTTAGCAACGTAAGTATTTATAATTTTGTGATTACTCTAATGTAATCACAGCTGTTTCCTGCAACTTGGGATATGCAAATTCCTTTCACGCAGTTTTAAGGATCAGCTTTTTAAGTTGTTCTGGGTCTCTTTCTTTCTCGTATCTTTTTAACTTTGTATCTTGAAATAACTAGTTGGCAATTTATTTGTAAGATTTTGTGATGTACACAAATCCCTATACACCGAGCAACCCACATTTTTTTTTTATTTCTATCGTTTGAGAATAATTTTTTAAATGTGGTTACTTCTTTATTTTTTTTTTTTAATTGTGTGTATGGTTATTTTGCTTACTTTGACGTCTGTGCACTACCCATTACAGTGTCCTTAGTGGCCAGAAGGGGGTGTCAGATCCCCTGAGACTGGAGTTAAAAGAGGGTTGTGAGCCAACCCAGGTTCCCTAGAAGAGCAGCCAGTGTGCTGTTTTTTTGTTTTTTGTTTCTCAAGATGGCAGGTTTGTAGTATTATTTTAATCACAAATAAAGCACAGACACAGGCCATCTACTCATTTTTTCCGCTGCGCAGCCTGACGTTGGGGTTGGTGACCATTGTGGCCAGCTGCGCTGCTCTTTCTAGGATGGCTTTTCGGTTCTTGCAGGAAACACTGTGATCAGTCTCAGCGCAGTAAGATTTGTTGCACATCAGCAGCTCTTCCAGCCCCTTGACATTGTGGACCGGAAACTTCCAGAAGCCGCTAGGCAGCGTGTGTTTGGTTTTCTTGTTGCTCCCATAACCAGCGTTAGGCATCAGGATCTGGCCCTTGAATCTTCTCCGAACCCTGTTGTGGATGGGTTTCTGCCAGTTTCGCTTAACTTTGACATATTGGTCTGACTGGTGCCTGAGGAACCTCTTGGTCCACTTTTTGACAATCTTGGGCTTCACCAGAGGCCTCCTGCCCTTTCAGTCTCCTTCTCCTCCTCTCCCACCTCCTCTACCTCCTCTTTTCGATTTTTTTTTTTTTTAAACAGGGTTTTTCTGTGCAGTCTTGGCTGTCCTGGAACTTGCTTGTAGACCAGGCTGGCCTTGAACTCAGAGATCTACCTGCCTCTGCCTCCTGAGTGCTAGGATCCTCTAGTCCACCTCCTGGATTGCACTTACTCCTTTAACTCATAAATTATGTAGGTTTATATTTTGATATTCCAAACACAATTTTACCTTTTTGTCCTCATGCTTTTTAATTAGACTCATTAGCAATTTATTTGTAAGGCTTTGTCATGTGTACAAATTCTTGTAAGACCAACAGCCCATATTCTTTTATTTGTATCATTTCAGAATCACTTCAGAAGTTGTAGAGCGTGTAGTACTTCCTCCCTAATATTTCAGTGACTTTTTCTCTGTGAAAAGATAGATGTCTCACAAAGCCACATCACAACCATCAAACTAAAGAAGTGAGTGTGAGATAGATCAGTATCACTTTCTAACAGGCTGCACTCAAATAGCAATTATCTCAGTAATAACCATGGTGAGACCCATGGACGCGTCATGATGGTCCACCTAGAATTATGCGATACATTTATTTTACATTCTGTTTGGGTCTCTTAGATGTGAAACTTTTCTTAAGTCCCCCCTCTCTCTTTCTCTCTCCCTCTCTCACCTCCTCCCTTCCTTCCTCTCTTCCTCTCTCCTCTCCCATTGAATTAAATGAGAGACTATGGATTAAGTTTACTCATCACGGGCAGTGATGAATTAGAAATTATTTTGTAAAGAGTCCACACTTGGTTTTGTCTAATATTTCCCCCATGCTTTGTGGTTTTTCAGAACAGAATAGCAGAAATCAGCCATATGATGCAAGCACTGCTGTGCTCTCCTCGGAATATTGGACTAAGACCTACCTGATATCTTTTTTTTTTTTTTTTCAAACAGGATCTTATGTGACTGTTTAGCTAATAACCCATGATGGTGCACAGGTCCACTCCCGTGTTTTTTGTGGTGCTGGGGACAGAGCACAGGCCTACATATGTTCCCGTCAAGTACTATGCCGAAAGAGCCCCATCAGTTTGTCTTTTATGTGAGGCTATTAACTTTTAAAACTTGGTTAAGATGGTATATTTTACTTTGTCCACTTTAAAATAAGCCACAGACATGTTATCATTAACCAATAAGTAGCTCAAAATTACCTGAAACATCCTGTTCCTCATTAACTTTAACCCACCAAGTTTTGCATTTTTTAATTACTTTTGTCTATGTCAATCATTACTATAATCGTTGCTAACTGCCAATGCTTTATAGACTGTGGCACGTCACAACAAAACGGAGAAGGTCTGTCTGGCCTGCCAATTAACTAGTAGGCCTGTGTACTCTACCATCCCTTGTTCATTAGATACTTCACTTTTAGCCTGATCTTCTAGTTCCCTTTCTACTTCAGGCATGTCCTCAACTGGGAGCTGCTTGAGATCTCTTTGAGTAGGCAAGAGGAAGCCTTGCCGGTGCTACAGAGCAATATGGCGGTAGTCTAGTCTTAACGCGTCAGCATCTGTGGGGAACTGAAGGCAGACCCTCTTCCTTGGGTCACTTCTTCCTCAGGTCAAAGTGGCTCACAGGTGGCCTGTGAAGGCATTGCAACTGATCCAGGTTCTGGTTCATACGGCCCTGACTTTATTTGTCCTTTGAGCTCTCTCTCTCCCAGGAGGACATTCTTACTTTGTTGATGGAGCTGGACATTTTTCCCAAGGAGTCTCTAGAGAGGGAGTGATTTCTCGAAAATTAAATCTGGCCAGATGTGATAGTCCATGATTATTTTTTTGATCCCAGCACTTGGGAGATGGAGACAGGATCTCTCTCTGTTAGTTTGAGGCTAGCCTCGTCTACATAGTGAGAGCAAACAAAACAAAATTTAAATCCGACCACAAGATGTGTCCATTGTTGAGATTTCCTTACTTCTCGGGCCTTCCAGGGACAGAGATGAGAAGCGTGTATGTGTGTGTGTGCGCGCGCGTGTATACACAGCTATGTCTATAACCACATGCGCGCACACACACACACATTCCTGTTCCTCTCAGTATATCTATTTCTGTCTATGACGTGATCTACTGTGAACTAACCATTTCCTTAAAACCATATGCTTATGAGATACCTCCAGTTCCAGTCAAACAGTACGGCTTTATTCTGGCATTTCTTCTTTCCAGGTTGTGTGTCTTTTTCCTCACTCCTGTTACTTTCAGCGTTCGCTGTGCGTAGCCAACTTACCAGCCCTTGTAACTTATAATCTTGTGAAAAACAAAGGGAGTTGGAGAGGAAGCACAGCAGGTATGATTGTTGCACAACCCCCGCAGGGCCAGGGTTTGGATCCCCAGAACCCACATAGATGCCGGGCCTGCTCATGTCTAGCCTGTAGTCTCAGCACTGGAGCGGCAGAGACTGGAGATCGCATGAGTAGGTTGGTGAGGGAGGCTAGACAAATCTGAGAATTCTGCGTTAAAGTGAGACATTATGAGATGGAGAGCCAGCGAAGAAGACGCCACATCTAAAGCTCTGGCCACCACACACACAGGTACACACCTGCTTATGTACCGGTACATGTGTGTGCTCCCCCCCCACCCTTGTAAACAGGCACATACAAATGGACACCAAAAATTTAATAGTAACTTTTACTCACTTGGTTAAGCTTCTTCTGGCCAGATTCCTTTCATTATAAATCAAGTTCTTTTCCCAATGCTTTGGTTGACTCTGACAGTGAACCATCTACTTCTTGACAGTATTTTAACTACCCCAAGTTCTGGGGATCCATCCATGATTCTTTCCTTGGTGCTGTCACATTGGTGTCTGGAAAGGGGTAATTCACTAATTCTCATTCCTTCTGTATTCATTACCTAATAATTTTCTTTGCTTGTTTGCTGTGTGGGCTGGTGCACCTCTTTGATGCCAGCACTCTGGGAGAAGGCGACAGTCCAGTCTGTGAGTTTGTGGCCTAATCTGTATAAAGGGTCCAGGCCAGCCAAGGCTGCACAGTGAGAAACTGTCTCTATATAAAAACAAAAGTGGTTTCTCCGCACCCCTCTCTCCTTTCAGTAGTTTTGTAAATGTGTGGGCTGTTTTCCCAGGTCGAGCGTATCAACACAAAGAGGAATTGTGCGTGAAGCTCCCCACCCCAGTGTCTCTTACTTCTTTAGAAAGATGGAAGCACACAATCTGCAGGAATGTAATAAATCGTACAACAGAGGACTCACGCGGGAATATAAGAACTCAGAGGAACTGGAGAGCTGCTTGTGCTGCTGTGACATCAGCTTCTGAAGTTATGTCCCACAAATCCTGGAGGTGGAGAATGCAGCATTCCATTCACAAGCTGTAGTGTTGTTTACCAATACACTGCCAGTAAAGAGATAGCTAAGGAGACCCCTTGATTTGGCATGGCAAGTGTTATCTATTTTTACATTGATGAACACATCCTGACACTAGACTTAATGATGTATTTTTGAAAAGAATGTATAGGTCATGACCAATGTGGCTGTCTGAGAAAGACATCAGCTATATTTTACAAGAACAGTCCAGAAGACGATCATATTTTCCATGCTTTCCTCCACAGATGTCTGTGTGTGTGTGTGTGTGTGTGTTTTTTTTAAAGAGGATCATAAATTCAACTACATTTCATCACTCACCAAAGACATCAGAGCGAGCTCAGAGTCTGAGACTCAGGGTCCAGGTGCTCTTGTATTTTTGCTTTGGTTTTTGTCTTCACTTGTGTGGTCACATTGCTGTGGGCCTGTGTGAAGAGAGCAGCCACGGCAGGCTCAGCTCACGGGGCTGCAGGCATTCTGGAAGTGCTGAGCACTGGGGAAGGGCGAGGAGTAGCCCCGCCTGCCTCTCAGTGAACTGGTATGCCATTCAACTCCACTAAACCCCAGGATCCCTCTGCTAGACATCTACCTGGCAAAGGTTGCAGGTTGGTTATGTAAGATGAAATATGCTAGGGTTGAGGGAGTGAGGGGCTCTGTTATTACCCACATGTCATAAAACAAAGAACACACTTTGAAGCTAGAGGAGTGCTCAGTTAATTTTTATTTATGTAGGTATGGTCTTCCCTCTCACCAAAAAGACAAAAAGTGATCTCTTACCCTTATATTTGATGCTCTTCTTGAGTTTGGGGAGACATGACTTGGCTTGAATTATTGCACATTTGTGTTTATTTCCTATTGTCTTTCCCCAATGTGTATCACAACACAGACTTAACACTTGATTTTTTTGTTTGTTTTTTATTTGTGTGGTTTGTGTCTTCTTCTAGCTAATTCCAGTTGATTAAAATCCTTAAGCAAAAATTTTCCTTGTGCCTCATTGTCACATGAACTAAACCCCACTTATACAGCAATTTAAATCTACCAAGCAGATTCTCGATAACTGAAAGGAAAACATTGCCATTTCTTAGAGCACTTACGACAGAAACAAGAGGATTCTCCTCAGCGGTGATTTGAACAGGTCAAGTGACTGCACTGTCACTGTGGTTAAGAACAAACAAACAAATAAAACAACAACAAAAACATTGTATGAGATTACCAAAGAATTAATAAAAACATTACTTTTAAAACACAGCTGCATTTTTATGTGTTCTAGAAAACATGACCAAAAAATCTTAGTCACACTATACATTTTTTATAATTTAAATGTTGGTGGTTTTCTTCACTGAGCTGAAGTCTAAATGTTGGGTATGACTGGGGGAGGTTATAATGATTCATTTAATAGAGATTCCGTTCTGTCCACTACCTAGGCAAAATGTCAATTGACACCTCACTAGAAGACTGAATCTTTTTATGAACCTTTTAGTTTTTACTTTACGTCAACCTATTTTAATGATGTCAGGAAATTATAAGTAGAGAAAGCTAAACAACAAAGAGCATAAGTAATTGCATATTTTTTTCTGTGGAATGATCAATATTGACAATGGCAATATTGGTAGAGTGGTGAATAAACAAAAGGTACTTCTTCTTGCAGTACTCCAGCTGGTAGACAGGCCCAGAGGTTCAGTGTTTCTGTGGGACTAGAGGAAGCTTCTAATGTCTTCATGCTGCATGGGGCTGTGTTCTGTCTTCTCCTTGACCCATTGATTCTTTCATACTCCCCCAACCTTTTTTTTTTATAATTAAAGAGAAAGTTTCAAAGATGGCACACTCATCATAAATGCAACAGATTCCTAAAGAGATTTAATGATGATAGAACATGTGTGCAGAAGAGGAAAACGGACAACGGGAGGGGAGAACACCTTTAGGCTGAGTAAGTTGTTTAGAAAAAAAAAAAAATCTCACAGTGGGTGTGGGAAAAGGCAAAGAGAACATTGCTAGGGTGGGGCTGGTACATAAAAGAGGAACAAAAGAGAATGAAAGTGTTTACAAAGCACTACAGCAAATCCAAAGCAGCAGGTGGATGGGTTCTGTTCATTTCTTCCTCTCATAAGGCTTGCTCTAGTTGATTCTTTAGCAAGCTTTGGAAGGCTGTACAAGAAAGCTGCTGGCACACACAAGAAAGCCTGGGGACTGTCCAGGCAGAATGCTCTCTGCAGGCACCTGTTTCAACCTGTTACAGCTTCATTTTTTGCCTGGTCTAGAATTTAACCTTCTCCCTCATTCCTTTGGGTGTCAAACCAAAAGGGTAGTTAACTTAAGCCAACGTTAAGGTCTGGAAGATAGGGAAGAGGCCCTGAGAGTTGTTTCAGTCTATCTCAAAGGAACTAATCAAATTACTGATAGTAATTGAAAACATAAAGCGCTTGACAGAACGGGGAAGAAACCTCAGAAATGGACTCTGTCCTCCTAAGATGCCTTGCTAGATATGGATTCCTGAAAACATCTGTCCCAGCAAAACAGTAACTGATTTCTTGTCAGGAGTGGCTCCCATGAGAGGATAAGGGGTAACCAAGGTGGAGAACATGGAAAATCAAGAAGTGGAGATCTGCTTCCGAAGATCTATTTTACAGAGAGCTGGCTTTGACTTGGTGTCTGTTGACAGGCCTGGTTGGGGTTCCTCACTGTCCTCAGCAAGCTGGTGGAAATTTAGGTGTTACAAGGCTTTTCTCCTAAAACTCACCGTCTGGTACAGCTTGATGTTATTCTTCAAACTACTGAGTCAAGATTTGGGGCTAATAATTTCAGTCATTGCATATTCATAGGCTAGTTTCTGAAACCCACTGGAATCATAACCAGTTGGTTCTAGCTTAAATTCTACAGCAATCTTTTGGGGGCAGAGTCAGTGAGAAATTGAACCAGAGTGGAATGGGTAGGGATCTGAAGAGTAGTTTTGTGCTTTCAAAACCAGGGCAATTGGTTTAATCATCAGCAGGGGCCAGAATCCTCTGGAAAGACATTTAAAGAAGGAAAGGAGGCCTTAATTCATAAGATTCAAATGGCCAGGACGATGTAGACGGTCTGATTCACTCGTTTTTGTCTCTCAAGAAGTACTGGCAAAGCTGTGTAGCCAGTAAAATCCAAAACCTTAGTTTATCATTTCAGTCCAGTGAGGAAAAGTTCAAATGCCTGAGGCGAAACCCAGAAGTATCAACACATAATTCTGTTCTTAGCAATAAAATTTAATTTGTTTTCTGTCTCAAAGGCTTAGTAACATTCAATTTGGTCTAAATTCCCATGCCTTCTAATTTGAAAGAGAAAGAAATTGTACTTCCTTCTCAAAGTAGCTGAGATTTTAATCATGTATGGGTTGTTTACTGTACTTCAGAGCCCCAAGTAAACATCGTCAGGGGATTTTTTCTTTTTTTTTTCCTTAATGGCAGTGTGTTCTCGAGAGTCTATCACAGCTTGCTTTGCCAGCTCTGTGTCTGTCTGGATTGTGTGACTGCTGCTCAACACTTTCTGTGTGAGGGAATAAACTTTTTAGCTCTCTAATTACACTGAGCAAACAATGAGTTAACACAAAGGCAAGAAATGGGGGGAAAAAAGCGTGTACTGTTTTTTCAGACAGTAGTTTTAAAAGCATCCCTGTGTAATATCTCTGTGAGGTGACATTGTGTCCGTGGATGCAGCTCAGCGGACTGTAGCAGGCCTAAACTAGTAAATGGCTGTCAAACTACCTGCTGTCCGTTAGACAGCAGAGTTGTCCCTTGTCTAGAAATAGTAAGAGCAATTTGAGAATAAAGCTCTTTAATATTGGTAAGAAAAGTTACTAATTCCATGTAGTAATATCATAGTACCTATAATTTCACCCCCTCCTGCACCTACACACATGTAAGACTCAGCTGTTAGAAACCTGCTAATGGGTTGTAGAGAGATGGCACAGTGGTGTAGGATGGGACCTGTTCTTGCACGAAGACCAGAGTTCAGTTCCCAGCACCCACATGGGGCAAGTCACAACTGCCTGTAACTCAAGCTCCAGAGGATCTGAGG